GTTTATCAGGAACACTTCTGCAATTTAATGCCCTCACACAGCACAGGGAAGCTGCTTTATACCAACAATTAAGTTTTGCGCACACTGATTTTTGTCGTTTTTGGCCAAGCGGTCATAATTCTACTTGACCTTTATTTCTGAGGTCATAGTGGGTGTTATTGTTGAGATGAACAAAAAAGAACCGCCCCGGGTTAAACATAACGTCGAGCGGATAAATGAAAGACTTGTTTATTTTCTCCCGAAATGCTTGTGTTGTTTAGATTTCTCACAGACTTACAGGCATCAACAGCTCTGGATTGGCATTCGTAACGCTTCAGCTTCATTAGAGCCGGATATATTCAGCTGTCACAGGAATCTTAGAGCTCTTAATGTTTAGTGAATATTGTGATATGCTGGGAGGCACAGAGTATGGTATAAAATAGCAACTTGTAGTAAAACCAGGAAAATGACTTGTATAAAACCCCACAGTGATAATTTACAGTAATGTCCCTGCAACACACACACAAGCCCTCATGCTTGTTAACATGATACAATGAATTTAATAAGACGATGTCAATGTTTAACTTACTATTATATCATTGTTATGCCTTTACTAAAGCTTACTTTGATACTCTGTTAAGGACATGTATTTAATAGCAGTTTAATATGCACTTATTGCCTAAAGAAACAAAAGGAAGCTTAGGAAAATTAACAGATAAATGAACACTCATTAACTTATTCCTATTAACTCATTATTTGGTAATAAGCTACTAATAATGACATTTAACCACACTGTTAGCTGTAACTAATGGTTATCACGTAGAGTTAAAAGTGTCGGACAAACTTTTGCTCCTTTCAGCATGAACTGTTACACACTGATCATAAAAGGCCTCCCCACCATCGGGTCGGCGAATTCTTTTGCCCTGTTCACCGCTGGGTGTGGAGCTGTAATTCAGCAGAAACTGAACAAACCTGCGTGCAAAGCTGGTGAGACGTGACAGTCGTGTGAGCTGAAGGTGGGCAGATAAACAGTGTGGTTTGCATTTTAGAGCGCAAACAGCTGTGATTACTTTGAGCAAACAAGGGCTGTAATTCTGAGCGTTCGTACAGGTTAGTAGTCCTTTTTTTTCCGTCAGGAGATGAATCGTCAACTGTGTGGTCATTGCAGATTTGCAGTCGATGTAAACTATAGAAAACGAGTCATATTTAAGTAGAAAAACGTCAACAATGTAACAGTGTGGCTCACAAGCACATTTTTCATACTTTTTTTGGACAGGAACTGAACTTTATTGTACACAAGAATGACAATTATCATGCATTTGACTCATAAACAATAGCTGTTAGTGCAGCTAACAGCTTTATATCTTCAGTATTATAAAGCTGCATTATTGTATCCTAATATTGCCTGCATGTGGAGCATCATGCTCTTAAGAGCTGCTGTGTTTTGGTCCCTTCTCTTTTACATTTAAAGTAAGACCTCGGTGTTTTAAAGCAAAAGTGTGCTTTTAAAGTTATCCTTTTGTGTTAGCGCCTTTCTTTTTGGCTGTTTGTTGCCAACTCAGCCAGCCGTAAATACACAACACATGTTACCATGTTAAGCATTGAACAAACATGATAATGTAAACATCCTGCAGACTGAGTAATATACTATCATTGATTTTTGGTTACGTTTTTGGTGCAAATCCAATATTTACACCATTTT